TCCCATTGACCTCAGCTGTGCTTTGAGTTTAGTGCTAATTAGCAATTGTTTGCATACTAACGAGCTAAACTAGGATGGGGAACATAACCATATTAGCATTGTCATTGTGAGCATGTTTGCATGCTATTATTGTCATTTAGCATAAAGCGTTTGAGCTTTCCAATAAAATGCAGACGTGTAAAATCCACTCTGAACTTCTTTTTAATCTCCCAGGCAGTATACTTGTGATAGACTCTGAATTGGTTATTGTGGGAGCCCAGTGGGAATCAATGTAACAGATACTGTGGAAGGTGTTACATTCAATCACAGAGCTGGTGGTGCTCCACTTTTAACTTTCCTTTTCTGTGTCATCATTTGTAGGCATGAAATAATTTCATCATGTCAAAGTGTGTCATCAGAAGGTCTATCAACATGTGCTTAAGTGTCTACACGTAGCTGTTATATCTTTTTATTACACACCGGTCCCAATCCACCTGCGTAATAAACCTAGAATACAAAATTCTGCCTTTTTGTTCTTCAGTGTGTAGGCAGTCAGTTACTCTCGCAGAAAGAGAAACAGCAACCAGCCAATTATTCTTGTGATTATTACTACAAGGAAGTGGATGGGCCTGCATGTTATTGATGTCAGAGAGGATGTCAGTGGACTTGTATTTCAGACTAATAAATACTCTTTGCACTGCTGGCCCTGGATTTTCAAGGGATTATGCGAGGCCGCTTTCCATCAGCAATGAGCTGTAGTCCTCCACGATGTATAATGTGAACAGTATGCATGCAGTCATATATATATGAATATGTAAGGAGGGTATCCAAGTGTATGTATGAGCATCTGTGTGGCTGAGTGTGTGTTCAGGAGTGTGTTTTACGGGCTTGATGATGGAAAGCTAGCCCTCTGCAGACAACCTGTGCTTATTTTATGGCCTCCTCCCCAGCTGCAGCATGTGGGCAATAAACCTTTCTCCAGCAATCTCCAAACAGTGCAGCAATCAATGGGAAATTATCTCAGCCAATCGATGGGCCAGCCTTTCTATTTCTCCCTCTCTCTACCTCTCCCGCTGTCCTATCTGTATCCTTTCTCCAAGCACCCCTCCCTCGCCTCATCCCTTCTGTCTCATTTTTGCTGTCTCTCTGTTTTTTCCACCCACTCCTTCACTCACCCCCTCCCCCACGTTTACTTGCATTCCCTCCAGCTCTCTCAGCTCCGCAGCACCTACTCTGAAATGCGACAGCTCAGCAGCTCCACAGCCATTAACAAAAGTCGCCTTCACCCATGGAATATGTAACATTGCTGGATTGACTTTCCTGGTGAATATAATGAACCTCACTTGTTCATACAACCAGAGTACTCCCTCTGACAGTTGTGACAACAAGACCCACTTACTGTACTCTGTGTTGTTGTTGTCCTTGGTTGTTTGTGGCCAGTTGCACAGAATCTCATTGTGTTTCACTTAAGGGTGTATTTTAATAAGTTTAGGAAATGGTCAAACGGACACTTCTCAAACAGTTTTCATGCATAGGAAAAAATACTAAGTGGTTTCCAACATTCAGTCCTTTAGGCAGCGTAAATACTCTCAAGTTGCTATGGTGACAGAAATGGCATGACCGTTAACTCTTTCTGAGGCTTAACACTGAGGAAGCAGACTAACAGTGTCTACACTCAGATTACTACATCGGTTAAAAAGACTCTAAAGCATCAAACCAAGAAGATTATTTAATTGATATTTTTATATTAACGATGCCTTGTTGTGTTGTTTTTCCGACCCCAGCTGCTTTGGTTCACTCTCACCGCTCTCAAAGTGCATTTTCGGCCGCAGCAGTCAGCTGTTGTCAGAGAAAAGGCTCTAAAAACTGACTGTAAGCCACCTGCCGAGTACTTAATGGCAGACTGACTCTGTTTGGCGACTAGCTGGTGAACATAGTGGAGCATTTAGCAGCTAAAGAGCCAAATATTTCTCTCAGGAGTTGAAGACAAATACACAGTGGATATTGAACTTACATTTGCCAGGTGGTGATGACTTTGAATAATGCTAATGTTGCCTCATGGCTGCTAGAAGTGTAAATAGGCAACTGTTTAACAACTTTATAAGGTGATAATATGTCAGTGTTGCGTTTACAGCTTGTTGCTCTGCTCCCAGGTGGGCAAAACATGAATTCATGCATCCTTCCTAAGTAGAGCTTTTGAGGTAATTTCTTTTAAGTGTCATGTAAGAAAATCGTTGCTACTGCACCTTTTTTAACATAATGTGGTATGAGTAACTCAGCACTACTGGGATCAATGTATGGTATTGCAACTCTGTAATGAGGTGGTAGATCAAAATCAAGCACTGCAAATACATGAACGATTTTGCCCTTTGTTGTGAATTGTTAAAGCAACAGTGTGTAGGATTCAGTGGTATCTAGCAGTGAAGATGCAGATTGCAACCATTTCACTACAGCTCAGCCTTGTTAGCATGTAGTAGAAACTATGCAAGCTGCAAAAGTTGCAAAAAAAATGTGAAAGGCCCTATCTACAGAAAAAAAAATTATTTTGTAAACAGTGTATTTTGGCTAAATGAGTGCAACTGCTAAATTAGGGCTGCACAATTAATGAAAATATTATCCAAATCGCAAGAAGCTGCAATTGTTTGATGAAGGTAAAATATGTGACAGCAGCATTATAATTAGGTACTGTAGCTATGAAGAGACTCCCTGGCCTACAAATCCTGTTATACAGATGTAAGAAAACATGTTTCTTTGGTACTACAGACCCCAATAGATGTCACATTGTCATGATTTTAGTAATTTTTTCAGTGAAAAATGTAATCATAAAATGATCATTCCCACTAATCGTGAATCATATCGCAATATCTGTCAAAATAATCTCAATATGAGTTATTTCTTTTTTACCATATTGTGCAGCCCTATGCTAAATGCTCATTCTGTGACTGCTTGTTTTGAATCAGTTTGTTTCCATATATGCCGATACACAACATCTCACAGAAATGTCACTATGTCATGACAAGGAAAACTGCCAAAGCCAATTTTCCACAATACTGACTCCAGCTCTCACTCGCACAACACCCAAATGGAAGCAAGAATGATGCATTTCTGTTATGTTGGATTTATCATTAAAGTAATCTTGGATAAACCTTTGGCAGCACTCACCCAAAAATTCCAGAGGTATTTCCATGCCTAAGCAGCACTTGCTCCTGGCAGAACAGAAAGACACTGACAGCCATTCAGGCAGCCTTGGAAATGGTGAGCAAACAGCACTTCTCCTAAACACCTTGTTTGTGCTGCTGCTACCCACAGAGTTCAGCCATAACGTGACAACATGAAAAGAAAGCACAAGTGACAACCACCACCCCTGCCTGTCACACTTGTATCATTTTTTCCCCTGCCTCAGCCAAGGGGAAAACAGCCAGCTAATGTGGTGGTTTGACAAGCAGGAGTCCTGTGTTAGGCAGAAAGACACAGGGTTATTATGTGCCTTGCAGTTAAGGATGGGGTCAACACGGTTATCAAAACCAAGCAGAGGTTGTTCTGCACAGAGAAGGACAAAGCAGCAGGCCGTAGTTTGTGAGAATGAGCTCTAATGGAGGAATTTGAAATGTGGTTGATACTGGGATTGCTGTGTTGATAGAAAAGAGTGTCTGTTACAGTAGATTAGGAGGTCAGCTCCGGTCAGTGGCTGCAGGGGTTTTGTTTGCACACCATAGCTACAAGCATATGTATAAATAGAAATCCCTCGTTGAGATTCTCAGCTGTTTTCATCTTTGTAAACATACTCATCTCAGGTTCACATGAATTAGCGAGCAACAAATTATAACCGTGGAAATTCTCAGAACAATGGAGGCTTCTGTTTGGAGACGGTAGTCGGCTAATCAGCAAGTTCGTGCAGGTGCCGTTAGTTGGCTCGGCTACAAAATTCAAAAGTATTAATGAAAGAATCCTTGACTGTTACATTCTTGGCAGACTAAGAAACATGCACAGATATTATCATTCTTTGTGTACATCAATGGGGAGTGCACTGAGAAAAGATTGTAGTGTTTATTAGTTACTACTAATTCTGCTTATACCTCGTACAGTCACATCTTTCTGCTAGAGTTCTGGGTGTTCAAATCAAGGTAGTTGATAAAGGTGTCTCACAGGGATCAATATTAGGCCCACTACTATTTACTGCATACATAGATAATAATAATTTTCCAATTGAATATTGCAATGTCCATTTTTATGCTGACGATACCATTTTGTATGCTCCTTGCGCAATCAGCCTTATTTTGACGAGCTCCAGTCCTCTATTAATTTGAAACTCTTTGTTCCAAACTCCAAAAAGGCCAAATGGTTGAATTTCACAAGAGCATAGAACTTTTGAACACATTGAACACCTCACTCAAAACCTTAAAATTCCAATTGAGTTTTAATACAGAGTACAAAGTATTTGTCTCCTTTCAGAGCAAACAACCTTTATACAATCCACTGTTCTATCTTATGGTGATGTATTTTGCTGCCACTACCACAGTGCCATTCAATTAATTTCTCAATGAATGTTTTGAGTAATGTGTGTGACTGAGTTGTGTTGTCGTAATGTTGTGTGTACGTTATTTGTTTAAGACTTAAAAACCTTACAAGGTGCTTGTAGCTCACTATTATTCTCTATTTTCTTTACTAACGGCATACATTATCATCCTCTCTGTCTGTGGTCTTTGTTATCAATGGATTATACTGAATGTCTATATGCTGAATTAAAAGCCACCTGATTTTGCTGCCAACAAAGGCTGTGGTCTAATCGCTCTTTGTCGTGGAATAAAAGGTCTCATTGGCCTTTTACCTCATCATCTCTCTGTCTGTCGCTCTCTCTCTCTGTGCGTCTCTCTTTCTCTCCACTGTCTATCCGAAGCCGCCTCTAATCAGCGGGCCTTGAGCTCTCAGAAAGGTCACTCTGTCCCTTTGATGGTGTTTTGATTCATCCCTTCCTCTTTTCTCTCCTCCCACCCTTCCCTTTCACCCCCTTTCTCTCGCAGGGAAGCTGGAGAGTCACTACCACCAGGGTGCCAAGAAGGGGCTGCTCCCATCAGCTGCAGAGTGACGTGAGAGGAGAAGCAGAGGAAGAAAAACAGTCTGATCTCACGGGAACATGGAAAATTATGTTTTATAATAATTGCCACATTCTCCATTGGGTTGTCCCAACATTGTATCAGGAGTTATCAATGCGGACATATTATCAGTTTCAGCTCTGTTTCTGTTTTAAATCACTGGCATTTGCATTTTTGATAAAGAATATTGCTTAAAAGTATACATTACATTGATATATAATCTTTTTGACAAATTTCTACAGTCTGCTTTGTCTGTATTTGATTCTTTGCAGAAATAAAATGATCTTTAGGTTACATTTTGTGCTTTTCTTATTCCAATTAAAATTTGTCAAGCATAAAAGTTGATCCTGGCTCGTGTGCATAATCCAAAATCACCCAGCAACACACTGTTTAGACTAATCAAATACATGCATGTGCACATTCCATACCTTGTAGTCTCTGAAAAGCATTGTGCTAATTCTGTTGTTTACCTCACAAGCACTGAGTGGGAGGAGAGAATTATTGCTGCCATGAAAACTTTTCAGAGTTGTAAAATCCTGCCTCAAGGGAGTAGAAACCACCCTCAGACTCATGAACTTATTATTGGACCTAAATTTCTTGGATGGCATTTCATCTACTCTCTCGTACATGTAGCATCACGCCTAGAAAAGCCTTGTTTTTTTGTTTTTTTTAGATGCAAGGATACAGCATGTGTTGTCTCACCTGCGTCTGTGCTCCCTGGTGAACACTGGTTTCTTTAAAGGTACGGTATAAGCTGTAATGGAAATATGATGTCTTATAAATCATTGTAGCTTTTCTGGTACTGGCACAAAAATCAGTTTCCTGTTCAAAATGCCTGTCACCGGCTGTTCCCCTCGAACCAGATTATGTAAGAGAATGAATTTCCCTACGGGGATCAATAAAGGATAACTTGTGTCTTTACGTGTGCATGCACCGGCTCTTGTCTTCCAAATGATATCCAGTTTGTGTTCCTTCCTTTGAATCTCTGCACGACATTTCAATCCGGGTCAGGAACTCAACCACTGACAATACACACTAATATAGAGAGGTAACTAATTAATGTAAATGCATTCTTTATAATAAAAAAATGGGTTTGATAAGATGAAAATCTTAAGGATTATAACTTTTAAATGGATTGTCGTAAATTAACCTCACGTGTTGTAGATCACTATTTTTGCAATTGCAGGCAATGTAAAGTCTTAATTTCTCCCTAGATATTATTGGAGGCAACTTTCTGCCCCCTCAGCTATTAATTCCACTCTTGTTTATCACAGAGATGCTTCAAGATGATTGTACATCATCAGTATTGTATTAACTTAATTTACCATATTAAGATAAATCCTGCAGGATTACTCCAGATTTTTTCGCACTGTTGACTTTATTGAATCACTTTTAGTGCTTTTGAAACTCCAACAATGAGGCTTTTGCAGAACTACACTCACAAACCGAGATCTTGTATGAACTGCTGTGACTAGGTATGTACTCCTTAATAATAGTTTTGGTATGAAATGGGTTCCTTTTTAATCGTGCCAGCATTTTCACTTCCTTTAAAAACAAGCAGATGCCAAATCTTCAGTACAACTTCAAACTCTTCGGCAGCCTAACATGTACAGACTACAACAGAAATCATTTGTTTACACTCAGGTCTTCTATGCTTTTATTTGGGTACACACCAGGTTTTCAACACCTTTTATTATAAAGCCTTACCCCTGGTTCAAGTGTTGTTGTGACAGCCTCTGACTGATATTCTGCCAGTTCAATGTAAGGTTGTGTTTCAACGTTTTACCTGTTTTTGCATTGCTCTGTGTTTATTTCCTTCCAAATGTGTGAGTGGCTCTTTGACTAAGCTGATTTCTGCCTGAGGGCGTATTTCACCATGGTTTGAAAAGCATAGCATGAATCACCAGCACACACACCCATCCCGAGTTGTTATGTTTTTGCCTGTGCCTGGCATTGTAATTCACTGTTGATTAGCTTAGATTTACTCTTGTTTGAGTTGCAGATTAGCTACAACTCTCTGCTCCACTCCATTCAGCATGAGAACGCATAATTGCACCAGCCCTCCCAGTAATCTTCCAGCCAGAGAATGTAAGAGGTCTCTTTTGTAAAGTTTCTCCATAGTAGGTGGGTTTTTTCAGAGAGCCTGCTTAAGAATTTACTAAATTCAGCCCCCAGTGAATCAACAGTGACAGCTACTTGCCCTGTGGGTGGCCTTTTCTTCTGTCTTCCAGATCAGGGGCATTTCTCCGGATGAGAGCAGACATCCAAGTTCACATAAACAAGGGCTCTGTGCTGTAATGCTGAACAATTAAGCACATGCAGTTTTTACTAAGCCTCTTTAGATAAAACCATAAGATCATGTGCTGTTGGTTTTTCATGCACAAAAGATGTGATGTACTTGTGTGGAAGAAATGTTCTAGGTTTTCCTTTTAAATATATAAACAGCCTTTAGCTGCAAGGGGTGAAAAAAAACAGCAAATCTGTTATTAAAGAAATAGTTCAACATTTTGAAAGAGAGGACTTTTTGTCTGTTAAACATGAGGTTACAGACAGGAGCCAGTTAGCCTAGTTTAGCACAAAGACGGGAAACATGGGGAAAACAGCTGGCCTGCCTCTGTCAAAAGGTTAAAAAATCCACCTACCGACACCTCTAAAGCTTACTAATGAATGTGTTACATATAATTTATTTAATCTGTACAGAAACCCAAGTGTAAAAACTTCAATTTGCCATTTTACAGGGGATTATGTGGCGGACTATTACTTGTTGAGGCACAGTAACTTGCTGACGTCTCTGCTTTTCCTTTGGCAATTGTTCATAGTGAAGAAATAGTGCAGTAATTAATTCACGTAAAACCACAAATGTCATTAAACTAACTGATTTAACATATAAGACACAACGGGTTAATAAGTGCACTAGAGAGAGAGTGAGAGGGGTACTGGTAGGCAGATTTTGTTACCTTTGGACGGAGCCAAGCTGCCTGTATACCCCTATTTCCAGTCTTTGTGTTAAGCGGCTGGCTGTAGCTTCATATTTCACAGACATGAAGGTGGTATCAGTCCTCTCATCTAACTTTACACCAGAAAACAAATAAGAGTCTTTCCTAAAATGTTGATCTTTTGCTTTAAAACACACCAGCTTACTGTAAGTGTTGTTTCCATGCCTGGTCAGTGTGCCTGAGGCTTCTTGTGTCGCAGCACAAACCAACCACCCTGCTGTTAATGATGCCGGTGGATAGGGGAGATGGACAGTTTCCAATTTTGAGCACAAGTAAGTACTTCAGCTAAAATCCCCGTCACCATCCAACTTTCATCCAATTAGCTATGGTTTGAAATTAAATTAGACATAACAAGGTAATGTGTTTCATCATTTGGGCTGAAAAAGATGCCCAGCTGAATTTCCTGATTGAAATTAAATGCAATTGACTCCAGTCCAGCAATTTGCCCTCCTCACCATTAAGCCAAGTTTCCAGTTGTAGAAGCAGCAGGACCTTTGTGTGCTTGCTGAGAGACTGATTGGACTGAGGGCGCAGGGTCCCATCCCCCCATCCCCACAGGCCTGGAAGAGGAATTAGGCTTTGGAGCACTTCAGAAGAGGTGCAATACAACCTGGGAACGTGCTTGAGGCTCATCCATCTCACAATGTGTCACAGTACACTGCCTGTCGAGCCAAGCTGGATGTACAAAGGAAATATTTAGAAAAGGATTGTGTCAGTACTGGCTCATTGAAGAGAATTTGACAGCAGAATTTGATGCATTGAAATCCTCACAATAGTCGCTCATTACCACCTCAGGACTTCACACATGGAGAACCTCACAGTTTTCTCTAAGACATCAGAAAGCATGTCGTGGAGCAATTAAAAAAATAGTTGTCAGAAACATGGTTAATCACCTTCTTGCCGAATAATAGATGAGAAGATTGATGCCTCTTAAAATCATAGCTTAGCACAAAGACTGGAAACGGTGGGGGAAACTGCTAACCTGGCTGTGTGATTTTTACACTTCAGAACAAACGTGCTAATTATTGCGCTTTGAATTTGGTTGTAGGTGGATTTCAGTGCCGTCAGACAGAGCCAGGCTAACTGCTAAGCTAAGCAAACCTCATGCTGACTTCATATTTAGCAAACAAACATTAGAGCGGCATCAATCTCCTCCGCAAGAAAGCAAATAAGCTCATTTCCCAAAAATGTTGACTGTATCCTTTAATCACTCACAGTTGTAGGACCTCTTACCTGGGATTGCCTGATACCTTTATCTAGGAACTGGGCTTTATAGAGTTGCTAGAATTCCCCATCCGCCTGCATTTGCAGCGTCTCCAGAGTGTGTCATGGCTCGTCGGCTTTGGTTAGTCCAGAGAAACAAGGTGGGCCCCATCTGAGGAGGGGAAGCTCATGAACTTCTGGAAAGCTTTCATCCCTCGAGGCAAAGTGAGTAAAATACAGAGATATCCAAGACGTGGATGTCCGTACGTGTCCGTTCTTTTTGAAGAGCTACGACCTGTTTGCCCTTGAGGACGTGGGCAACGGTAAATGTTAATACCTCTCTGTGATCAAAGGCAATCTGTGCGGGGCAAATATCAGTAAATCTGCACAGTAACGAAACCGAACTGACTTCCTGTTTGACAGGAAAATTAGTCTTGAGTCCTCAAAAGGAGAGCAGATGCATAAATTCAATTAAAAATGGATTTCCCATCCCAAATGGCTTTCTCTCACTGCCATTTCTGAAGATCCACTGATAGGCGATCAATGTAGTCCATGACCTTCTGACCTTGCTGAATGAAATGTTACCTGTAGCAACGTAAATGCGGTAGGTAATATTTAACCTTGTGGCTGCATCAATTTTCCCCCTAAAGAAAACCACAGAAACACCCAGAGAAATGATAGAAACTCCAACTGAAAAGAGACCCATGTGTGCTCATGTTAGGGTATAATGTCCACAGAAAGCCCCCCACCAGGGCGTCTTCACAGCTTCTCAGAGGGTTGTTTTTTTTTTTTTTTTTTAACACACATGACGCCACACAGAAGACAGTTCAGATGATAGTCTGTCTTCAAGGCTTTTCCTGTCATGAGGGGTAAATCTCTGAACACAGTGATTTGTCAAGCTTTAGTCTCTTGAATATGTAAAATAGTCCCTTCCAGGCTTCTGTTTTCTCAGGAGCAGGCACTGTAACAGATACATAACATGATTACTCTGGATTAACTATTAGCATATTGCTATATGATAGACAAAAAATGCAAACCCGTTTTTCTGCCACAGGCTTACAAAATATGCTCTTATTCTCACGACTGTTAAAATGTAATGATGTGACAGATGGGCAGATATTTGACAGAAACTGTTGAAATCTGGAGGAACAACAAAAGAAAGATTGCATCCTGACAATAAATCTTTCTTTCTGGAGCTGCTACGTTGGAGGAGATGTTTTACAAATGCCTGTCTGTGGTAGGATTTCTGTTTTGAGTAATTGGGTCAAAATCTCAATTTGTCCCAAATAAGATGTTTCACACAAATTTAGAACATGGCGTTTGAAAAAAAAAAAAATTCTTGATCTCATTTTTGTCAGAGGGACACGGATCATGTGTTAAAAAGACAAATGAATATGATTTTATTATAATCCCTGAATCCCCAGCTTTTCCTGCTTCCTTTTGATTCTTCCTTTTCACGCGATATTCGAGTCACATGTATGGCCTGAGAGTTTACCGACGTCACTGTTCATTGTTGATTAATTCTTGGCTCTTATGTTCAAGAAAAATGATTTCTCTTAAGCTCGGTGCATGTTGCTGTCTGCTCGACTCCCATCCATTAAAGCACTAATGGTATTTGCATGGCTAAAACCAGACAATCACATCACACAGTATATAAACACGCATACAGCTCCTCTTCCTGTCCATCTGAATATCCTGTAACAAGACTATGGCTGTGTCCAAAATCACTCCCTTGTTCTTCGGAGCGTTGCATTGTGGGAATTTGTTTTAGCAGAAACTGGAGTCATGGAAACTTCTTTTTTTTTTTTTTTGGGAGAAGCTAGAAGCTCTTTCAGGTTTTGCCTTGAGCTAAATGCTGACATGCTGATGTTAATCAGGTGTACTGTTTACCATGCTAACATTTGCTTATTAGCACTAAACACAAAGTAAAACAGAGGCTGATGGGAATTAGTTTTGCAGGTATTCGGTCAAAGATTAAAGTAGTTTTGAGACATTTTAGTGAAAACAACAAATGAGTTGAATAAGTCAACCTCATGGTGGCCCTAAAAGAAAGGTCAGGTGATCACTAAAGTCATTCAGATTAATCCAATGTGGACCATGAATGTCAGTCTATTTAATAACTGCTGAACTAATTTTCACTCAAAAGCAAAAATGCCAATCTTATGGTGGCACAAGAGGACAAGTCAGTGGATCACCAGTTGGTAGGATTCATCCTCTGAGGACCATGAATGTCAGTGAGAGCTCATAAAGCCACTAATGGAGCTAAAAATGGGAAAACAAGAGCAAGTGTTACAAGTCTGTGATGCAGAAGAAGGAGCTAACTCCTACCTACTGGATCTATATTAATAATGCTACAATACTGTTATATAATACACCTATTATGTTGTTGGTCCTTGTATTAGTGGTTATTCAGTATCACCTTTCTTCTACTGTATCAACGTACGTGTCATTTCTGAATGTGGTCCAGCTCACGGTTGACACAGCTCTTTCATTTTAAACACGTGCTACAGAACAAGTCTCCTTTAGATGGGTTTCAAGGCTTTACAGTTTCTTTTATACAGAGTAATGGAAAGATGATCACACAGATCAAGCCAGCCCCTCTGTGATTCCACATGGCCGACTGATTAGCCCTTTCTCACTGATGGAAAACACATGGCGTCCACACAGCTTGTTCATTTCAGGTTTCCGTTGGTGCTCGCGCTCAGCAGCGAGAGTACTCGGTTTGGAGCCTCATGCAGCCTTGAAGGGCAGTCATCATCAGAAAATCTGTCCCCCCTCCAGTTCCCACTTGCCCCTGACTGTTATTTAGCTTTCCAATGGAGGCTGGCTGTTCCCTCGGGAAGGCATGAGTGTGCCTGCCAGCAGGAATGCATTGGAGGCAATAGAGGAAGATGGAGGATGGATGGAGGATGGTGAGTAGCTGCTGCTGCTTTTCCCTCTGAGTGAAAATGAGTCCATTAATTCAGCCCCCCTCCCCTCCTCTCCCCTCCCTTCCCCCGCTGCCTCTCTCTCTCCCCCCCTCCAGCCCTCCCTGTGCCTGTTGTCTCTGTTTGTTAGCGAGATGATTCCTTCTGTCATGTCAAAGGCAACATTATCATATTCTTGTTGCCTGGGAAACCGGCGCTGAGAGACACAACGACTTAAAGCTTTCATGGCGTTTGAAGCTGGTAAACATGAAAGGTTATCCGTGGTGCTGAGAGAGTTGGAATCCTAACATATCTGAAAGGGGTTTTATTGTTGGAATTTTTTATTTTTCATTTAGTTTCCCACCCACCCCGTTAGCTCAGTGAGAAATTCCCTCTTGGTTGTTCGTTAATAGATTCAGTTCAGTTAAATTAGAACATGGTTTATAGAGACACAAACGGTAACGCGTCCAATTTGCACTGAAGTGTGAAGATCGAGTTTTGACCTCGGCGTTGTTTTCTTTTTGTTTATTCAGAGTATTAAAACATTTCAAATTGTTGACATTCAACATGATGCACATTGGATCTGGTTGAAGGAACGTGAACCAGGATTTTTTTTACATTGGATATCAATAAATACCTTGTGAAAGGATGTTTCCTTTAGTGTGTTTGTGATTACACTCACTCTCCAAAATACAATTATAGCAGTGTTTATAATAGACTGTTCCTTTTAATAATGCACCATTTATAAAGGGGTTCTAAGCTGTAAATAACATCTTTAATAATGTAATAAATCATCAACTAAGGCGTTTTTTTTGTTCAATTATAAGCCATTAATATGAATAATGTTGGGATAAGTCCCTTTTGGCTTGCACCAAAATCCACTCATTAATAACTTACTACTTATTCATGTTTATATCTGTATTATTATCAAATAAACACCAACAAAATGGGACAAACTCCACACAGCAACCCTAAAATTGTATGTATATGTACTTATGTATATGTATGTGCATGTATATTATTGTAATCATTGCTGTTGTTGTGTCACTCTGTTGGAAACACTGGAATATACAGTATATGTATATTTAAAAAACTGCAAAACATGTCAGTTATTATGGATGTTTTGTGGAACTATTAATTTTCTAGCATTAAAAGTATTTTTTTAGTGATGTTCCTTTAATATTGTGATACTTGGATTTGGTTACTGACTCCATTTTTAACAGGTGATTAGTAATTGGATCACATTTTTTAAAAGAAAATACGAAAACATCCATTAAAATCAGTCAGTTGTACTCAGTGATAGAAAAGGGAAATATCTGAGGAACAACCACTGTTTTATATTAGCTGTAAACTAAATCACAGTCCACGCAGTGCGGTGGATCCAGTTCCGGATCTTTCCAGCCGGGGCGCCGGTGGACTGTAACAGTTCAATCCGACTGGAACGTCTCATCCTGGGTTTCCCGTCCGCTCCCGCTGCCGCTGGTTGGCTACATTGTATCAGTTCCCACACGAAGAACCACCACGGCGCTCCTCCAGAAACAGGGCGAGCTACGGAGGAATTAACCCGGACGGGAAGCGATCCGCTGCGGGATTAATCGCCAGTTAAGGTCGCGGGAGAGGACTGGACTTGTGTCGGAGGGGGAGGGCTTTTTTTTTTTTTTTTTTTTTTTTTTTTTTAAATATATATAAACACCGCACCGATTAAAAAAAAAAAAAAAAAAATGCCCTCCGGACTCCGGTTGTTTTCGATGTGGACGGTATCTCGGAGTGTGATGGCAGAAGTCCAGTGAATCGCTGGCCTCCCCTCCTCTCTTGTGTTGGATGTGTTGGGGGAGTCCGCGGCCGCTGCTTTCCTGGGGCTCCACATTTATTATTTTTATTTTCTCACAGGTTTTATTGTAACTCAAACCCCCCTTCCCCCCCCCCCCAACCACCCCCATTACTCTGATTTATTTCTTTAACGGAGTGCACACCACCATGGACAGACCAGGGTTTGGAATAGGAGTGGCTAGCTAAGTCGGTAAGTCATTATTAAATGTTATTATTATTCTTTTAACTCCTCTTTCTCTCTCTCTCTCTCTTATTGTTGATAGTGCTACGACTCGTTAGCCACTTAGCCTTAGCCTTGCGTGCAAAGGCGAGCTTGGCTAGCTTTCCCACCGTACAGCCAGCACAGCATGCAGCAGCAGAGCGGAGCTAGCCAAGCCTGACTGCACTCTCTGAGCTCATTGTTTCAGTCTGCCAGCCGTCACATCAGCTCGTTTACAGCAAACTAAGGTAGCCCCACTTCTCCTGAGCTCCCTGGAAGTTTCAACTCACATGTGGAGGGAGAGAGAGGGAGGGAGGAAAAAAAACAACGTGTTTAAAAGTTAAACCGGAATAGCTTTAGCTTTGTTTTTTAATGACCGTTTTAATTCGACTCAACGGTTAGTAACGGTCGCCTCGAGGAGAGTAACGTTTGTTGTTGTTGTTGTTGTTTTTTGTTATAAACAACAACTCTTGTTTGTGTTAGTAAGTTGGGGTTAAAGTTAAATGTTTGGTACAAATGCTTTAAGGTGGATTCCTCCAGTGTGGTGATTACAGTGTGTACCCAGGCCGGGTACCGGGTACCGGGAACCCCCCCCCAAAGGGACGCCCGTTGGGGTTTATTTGTTTTGTTTCCTGATTAAAATTGTAATGTTTTTATTCTTTATTTGACCCTGTGTTTGAGTTCCGCTGCTGAAACAAGTTTATATCTACAACAAAGTCTTCTTCAGTTGGGGGGGGGGTTGGTGGTTTTATGGTGTAATGACCCTCTAGTGAGTTAGGGATGTCTGACAAATGGAAATAAGGGGAACAAAATCTTCTTTTTTCATCTGAAGTGAGTCAATTAAAGCACAAAACACTTATTTACAGGTGTATTTATTAATTACAACATCATTATGGGCTACGGCTGTGGTCTGTGGTGCTCTATAGAGTATGGGACTGTACCACATTAAAGACTGGTCAAGAAGTCTGCAGCCCCAATATCTTGCGTTTGCTATAACAACATTAAACATTTAGATTTCTTTGACTACACAACCTGTGCAAGTTTCTCCAAAAGTGTTGCAAAGTATCCAATCGAATGATTTAAACAGCAGTAATTGTGTATAATGGATTTCGCCATATTTGCATAGGCAAAATGAGGCGTTTGTGGCGACAAAAGTACGAGATTAGGGTTTTAATCGGCGTTGTGGAGGCGAACAAGCGAGATAAAGTTAATAAGGTTTTTGCGCAGGCCTTGTTCGTTGCTCCCAATGCACCACGGCTAACAGTTAATCAAATATAATTGGTTGTTTCGCATATGTTATGTGTGTTGTTTCGGTTTTTAACTACTAACCGATTAGTGCTTACAGTGCAACTTCTTCCATCTGGCGAGTCTCAGGGAGTTTTCAGCATTACCTCATAGGGACATGTTTGAGAGAGGGGTTAACATTGTGCCAGATTTCAGTTTTGCTTAGACCGATAAATTGGACAGGACAGTACATCTGGGTGTAGATAATTACAAATGTATTGGTTTCGGTGTATGCTGCATGTTTGGCCGATGCGTAACGAGACATTGCAAGTTTATATTTACACAGAATAAATCTTGTTTAGTTTGTTTCTTGGTCCAAAAAAAAACACGTATATGGGATCAGTATCTGTTACCAATAATACTATTATGATACATTGCTCTAATATCCAGTATTGGTTGGGCTATAGTGCGCACTACCCACCCAAGGATTGACTAGAGTTGTCCATAAATGACGGCAAGCTCAAGGAATAAGCTAACAATAAGACGTGTTCAGTGGAAAGGGTGGTTTGTTTGTCAATTTAAGTCGGTTGCTGAAATGCCTAATTACCTACTGTCAGGGCTATTTGTTCAGATAAATGCGCCAATCACCAGGAGAGAAAAGGAAACTTTGAATGTTTTGGCAGTGAAAACATGTGTACTCGTTCCTAAAAGAGCCTTAAGCAGTCCTGGCTAATGCTGCCGCTTATGTTTGAATATCAGTTTGGCAGCTCCATTGTCCGGGTGTGGCAATAACTGCTGGTGACACTGATAAAGGGAAAAACCTAAACACCAGTGCAGGCGTAAGAAGGAATCCTCCTACACACAACTGTGGCAATACTTCACTGTACTGTTAATCCACTTTGTTCCAGTGTGTCATGCAATAAAACATGGCTGATTTGCACCATGCATTTATCCGGTGTCGTATCCCGTTCGCTTGCAGCAGACGTGTGGTTTTGTCAGTACTTAACGCTTCGTCAGAGAGGTCAGTTGGAAACAGCGGTTGGTTTTGTTTGAAGCGTAGCCTTGGTGTGTGCTGCAGCAGCCATTGTAGCCAGACGTTTAGTTGTTGGTAATGATTTCAGGTGTTTGTATACAGGAAGTAATGTCAACACAGGAGAGAAAGATATGGGCACTAAATGAATTGTGTGCGTTGTGCGTAGTACGTGGGACATTTTCACCGGTTAACTCTGTCAGCCACAAAAGGGTATTTTGGTTCAGGGAGCAGTGAGAAGATCAACTTTACTAGAGCTACTGTAATTTGTCAGCTGTGCCTATAAATGATTCAAGCCATTCACTTAGGCTGTAAAAGTTTTTGGTCAGTATTGATTCATTACTGACTCTGTATGTATTGATTTTTATACATTTTGAAGGGTATTTTCTGTCCAGACCTCTTTTATTACTTGTTCTTCTCATGCACTTACTGAAATAAATACAGGAGACGGTAATATAACACAGTCAAGCCCAGAGGATTCACATTACCAAGGATTTCCTTCTCAAAATTGAAATAGTGTAGCCGGCAAAATAATTGTTACAGCACCAGTGTCACTGTTAATACTTCTACTAGTTCTTTGTGGTATTTGTTCTTTTCAAGGAATATTCACTGTACCAGCTCACTGTGAGGCAGAGAGCTCGTACTGCTTCCTTTCCAGCTGACTACCTTTTCAAAGGCAGTTCCTCTCCATCTGATTACCTTTTTTTTAGTAGTAATTTATTCTAATCACTGTAAGGGTGTTAGGAGCTGTGTTGTAGCACGCCAGACACACTTTTTACAGTCTGACAGAGCCATCAATTGTAAAATGGAAGTGAAATTTAAGACTCTAAGCTCCACAGACTAACATGACATTTTATAGTTGTCAGAGATTGTGTAAATTTGCCCAATGCTTGGATGAGAGCCCGAGGTGAACATGAGAGCATGCCACTTGAGGAAATTCTCGTTAACTTATCCATCGATTTGATTTTTGTGATAACTAAGCTGCTGGGATGAGACCGCTTTTCAGTGGGAGAGCGTGGAGATGTTTGTGATGACACTGTGGCTTTCAGTTCAATGTGTTTCTGTAAGCTAGAGGGAAATATTAAGTCTTAAAGATCCACCAAAAAAAAAAAAACTGTGATTAGTTTGTAGTTAGTTTGTAGTTTTTAAAATCTGTTCCACATCAGGTTGGGTATCAAAGAAACCGTGTAGAAGAAGAGAATTTAACAGTGTTTGTTTAGAGGTCCAGGGCATCAGATTAGTCCAGGACAAGGGGATTATGTTGGCTTTGTAAGGCTCCCATCATCTCATACACACACAGCTGATGGCAAAGTAAGAAAGGATTTAGCCTATATCTTTAAAGGTAGCTGGTAATTTGAAGGCTTTCGATGTACCTTAAAATCACTTGAATTAACACATTTATTTGGGTGAATGTAAACCCACAAATGAACATATACTGGTTTTTACTTTGGCAAACGCATGCGAATAAATGAGAAGCGTATACATTCCTTAATTCCCTCTACGGCGGGGAGTCCATATAGCCTCATAATGTCGTTAATGTCATTAGACACGTTGAAATGAGATGGAGCATCTCTGTAGTTGAAAACACCCATACAGTGTTTCCCCGAGGTTGAGATTTATTCGAAGTGGTCCTCTTTCAGTAATGGGGGTTGGGCATCTTTAAGCTCCACCATTCAACAATGAGAAGAAAAGAGTCCGCAGGAAAAAACAGCTTAAAATGCATGGCCAGACTACAAGATAGTCAGTAATTGTAAATTCATTGTCAGTGCAGTGGCAAATCGCATAATTTGAACATAATAATCAATCAACTGCATTTAACAAGAATCAAATTCAGTTAAATTTGATTTGTTCAGCACCAAATCATACCAGAAGTTATCTCAAGACACAGGTGTGGACCGTACTTCTTCTAACATTATTCACAGAGACCCAACAATCCCCACCATGAGCAAGCACTTGGTGACAGTGGCGAGGAAAAATGTGCTATTGACAGGCAGAAACCTCAAGGAAGGGTCTTTGTGTCAACACACAGTAAAACTGAAACAAAAGAAAATTCATCTGCAGCTCTTTTGAAATGTGCTTCTCCAATGTGAAAATTTGCAGCTTAATGTCACAGTTAATAGATATAATTGGGTTTGGTCAGTTGATGGAATCAAGTTAGGAAATTGTGATGCCATTTCATGACGTGATTAATCAAGGAACCTGGCAGATTAATAATCATATGACAATAATCATTAGTTGCAGCCCTAGAGTCTTTTTCCTACAGTTGCATATTGCACACGTGCTACAGTGGGCTTTGCATTAATATTTGTTAAGTAGTTTTTGTTAAACAGGTCTGCATTAGAAAAAGGCCCGCTTCAGAGCTTTCCTGTAATGGGTTAAGTGTTTTGTATTGTGTTTTATAGTGCTTTTGTATAATGTTCGTTGAGAGGAGTATCATCTGGGGCTGTTGTGGGTGGCTGTTCGGATTGTCTCTTCAGCTCCAGCAGAAACAAAATGCTGTGGTTCAAATGCAGCGTTCACCTGAGAAATATTTCAGTGTTGCACAAATAGTAGCTGTGGAAACAACAGCTTTTTAAATGTGACTCCAAAAACAGCTCACGTCAGTCACAGACTCACATGGCCTCTGTAAATATCATTAATTAAAAGTGATGTTTTTGTTTGCTTGTACAAAATGTCAAAGCACGGTGAAATGTTTCTCTGGCAGCTTGCGGTTTACTTGAAATGTAATGGGGGGGGG